AATAATATAATGAATTACAGTACCATTTAAAGTAGTATAAACATTTTATATACATTATAATGTAACTGTAAGGGTTAGAACACAACTATAAGGATAAAATAAGGTATATTAAAGTATATAAAGACTCTAAAAGTGTTGTAAATGATTACAATTCATTGAATACAATATGATAACCTTAAATTATAAGCTAAAGCATTATACCTATATTATAATTTTGAAGACAGTCCTATATTTACATTGTAAAACAGTTTGTATTATCTATACAATGATTTCAACTACCTGTAACACTTATATTACTCTGTTTAAGAGAATATAAACATGCCAGATTGCTATCAACTGTATTATAAAGTAAATTAATACTTTTATTTTACATCTAAATATAATAATTGATTTGCTTTACAGCTTTGCTACTATCACGAACATTGATTACGTAATCACATGCTGAAGATCGAGAGCATATAATGATGCACTTACAGCTGTCACTCTTTCTCTCTGACCTCCACCATCTCTCTAAGTCTAACCCTCTGCCCTGACACTATGTTGTTGCTTTTGTTCTCTCCAGCCCAGTCCTCTGCTTGCAAGCGTCCTCCAGCAGGTACTCCGAGTGCAACAACACAGACAATAAACATTGCTGCAACTCGTCTCTCTAATCTACTGTTGCAGTGCCTGTACGGAGCCTCATATCCCATGTTGTGCCACTGATATGACTACACAGTCCTTCAACGTAAAGTGGTAAGCAGCCAGTCCACTTCATAATAGCCTGCACAATAGTTGCTCATCCCTCTCCTCCCAACATTTTGTCTCCCTTCCATCCCTTCCGCTCCTCACTCTGTGTCTCGTGTTGCCTCTCCTTCATTGTCCTCCTTTTTTTACGTTTGCCTTCCTTTTCGCATTCGCATTCACGCATCTTGTTGACTAATGCCAAACGACTCCTTCAATAACTCCATGCATCCGCATACTTCTTCCCACTCTGCAGTACAAGCAATAATCAACGAGCACATGCTTGCAACAATGTCCATGTACGACCACTCCTATGGTACCACCCTCTCTCTGATACTGTACGTGTTCTACTTCTCCATTCATTCCATGCTTGACATCACTCTTGACAGGTCCACCCTACTTGTATTTACATTCCTCAGTGCTGTCCATGACACCATTTAGAATAAGGTAAGCAGTGGCCACTGCTTACCCCTCCTGAGCCGAGTCTGTTCACGTCACCCATGTCACCCTCTCCCTTCGAGCCAGAACGTCCCAGAGATACACCTTTGCAATCACCCACAACAGCTAAGTTCACTGCACCTCTGATTACAAGACATAGTCAGAGCATACAACGTGCACGTATAGACACGGCTTCGCCTGCTGCCCAATCAGCTCGTTCAATGCTCAGGACCTTAACCTGGGTGCGCCACTCATCCTTGCTTCACACTGTCACGGTGCATCCTTCTTTTTGCTTAAGTACTAGCACACACTAACATTTCACTCTGTCAGTTCCATAACCTGTCTCACAAGCACAATCTCGACCTCTGCAACCCTCACAACATCACAATCCGCACACACACACAACTCGATTCGCTGGGACTGTGCAGCAACCAAGGCACAGAGACGAAGACCACATCAAACAGCCTGAGAACGCATTTATCCTCTTCCGTTGCGAATGCTGTTGGAGAAGGAACGAGGCAGGGGCAGCTTGTCATACATTGCAAGTACTGTGACTCAGTGTGAGTGTCTCTTTGTCAGCATCTACCGCCGATTCTGACGACTACGGCGAATTCGATTCGCTCTTCTCCGATAGTTCACTGTATGGCTGCCCGTTCGGATATCTGCACACGGCGTGCAGTAGCGTGCACGAAGTGGAGATGGCGGACTGCTGATTTTGAGATGGGTGATGCAGAGTGCTTGCAAGGACGGGGTCAACTGCAAATACGGTCATTACCGCTGAGCCTCTCGATGCCCTCGCTTTCTAGTAATCCGTCTGGATCTGGTCAAGGTATGAGCCTGGCAATCGACACCCGTAATGCACTCGTTCGCCGCTCGAGTCTGGTCCGATCCCAACCTCTACCTACTCGTATTTGCATCACAGCAGACATGGACACTCTCACTCGCTCTCTGCACAAATCTTGACGCAGACTGCACTATGTATGTGTTTTCAGTTTATTTTCCTTAATTATTGTAGATAATGATGTATCGTACAAATATTTTAATATAATTGATTTTTGTTATTTCAATAATGAATGGATGTAAGGGGAAATTATTATTATTAAGAAATAATAACTATGTATAGTCTGTAAAACATTACAAACATGTGTTACCCTTCCAAAAGTTGGTAATCCTTACAATACCTTTCAAAAAAGGGAGGTCCAATATTATGCATTTTATATGTTTAAAAGGGGTATTACCCTTATGTAC